GTAGGAAGAGAAAATAAGGTCCTAGAAGTTGTTCAATCATTGATTAACTCAAGTAATGATCAACCTTTCCTTGTTGTATCCATAGTGGGTATGGGAGGCATAGGCAAAACTACTGTGGCCAAACTAGTGTGTAACAATGAGCAAATAAAGAGTCATTTTTCCAAAATAATGTGGATTTGCGTTTCTGAAAATTTTAATTTGAAGCAAATTTTAGTAGAAATGTTACAAGCTTTTGATGAAAAAGATTGTGTGTATGTAAGCCAAAATATTGTAGTTCAGAAACTACAGGAAAAATTGAGGGAGAAAAATTATCTTCTCATATTAGATGATGTATGGAATGAAGATCGACAAAAATGGGAATCCTTCAGGAGCTGTTTGTCAGGAATAGGTAAAAAAGTTGGGAGTAGGGTTCTTATCACAACTCGAACTAAAAAAGTAGCTTCCACAATGGAAACACTTTCTGAGCACATGCATCATCTTGAGAAACTAACAAATGAGGATTGCTGGTCTATAATCAAGCAGAGAGCATTTGGCAACTCATCATTCCCTTCAGAATTGGAGGGGATTGGCAGGGATATTGCTAGTAAGTGTGGAGGTTTAGCATTAGTTGCAAATATTATTGGGGGGAGTTTGTGGAATAATAGGAAGAAGGATGACTGGTTGTCAATTAAAGATAATAATGTATGGCGTTCAATGGAAGAAGATGGGGGAGTTCTACGAGTGTTGCAGTTGAGTCTCAATCGCTTGCCAATACCTGCTTTGAAACTATGTTTTGCTTTATGTTCTATTTTCCCTAAAGATTTTGTCATGGGAAAGGAGATGTTAATTCAACTCTGGATGGCTGAAGGATTTCTTCAGCCATTTAGTGAAACACACTTGGAGATGGAGGATGTCGGTGATAAGTATTTCAATGCATTGTCATCATATTCTTTATTTCAAGATGTTGAAAGAGATCCTTATGGGAGCATTACTTGCAAAATGCATGATTTAATTCACGATCTTGCACAATCTGTTTCAAAGTCCCAAACTTTGATTTTGGAAGATGGTAGTGGAAGAAATATTCCTGCAAACATTCAACATTTGAATGTCATTTCTAATAAGGGTACGGCAACAACAGAATTCGGGGATGTCCCTAAAAAATTGCACACTTTGTTTTCACAAATTGATGTCTTGCACAGTATGTCAACGAACTTGAAGAAGGTGCGGGTTCTCAGTTTCTGTGGAGCTGATATTGATGAGTTGCCAGCTTTTTTGGGGGAAATGAAGCACTTAAGGTTCTTGGATGTTTCAGATACTAAAATCAAAGAACTTCCCAAGTTCATCACCAAGCTCTATCATTTGCAGACATTTAGATTTATGGATTGCTACAGAATTGAAAGGCCTTTGGAAGGAATATGTGATTTACTCAATTTGAGACACATTTGTTTCAATAATGAAAAGCTTATGCCAGCAGGGATTGGTAGACTACCTTGTCTGAAAACATTACAATTATTTGTTGTGGGCCAACAGGAGGGACATCAAATTAAAGAACTGAGGCTTTTAAACCAACTCAGGGGAAAATTAGAGATTCGTAATTTGGATATGGTTAGAGACAAAGAAGAAGCCATGGGAGCAAGACTTTCTGAAAAGGATGCAATTCAGGAGTTGGAATTGGTGTTTGGTGAAAAGTATACAATTCAGAAGTTGCAATTGATGGGTTATGCAGAATCTAGTGGCAGTGAAGATAGATGCAAACATGATGAAGATATCTTGGAAGGCCTCCAACCTCATTCAAATTTAAAAGGCCTAACTATTGAACACTATTGTGGGAAAGGCTGTCCTTCATGGATGTTAGAAACAAAAAATTTTCTCAAAAATATGATGTTCATGACCTTTGATAAATGTCCTTGGTTGGAAAGCATAGGAGAGGATTTATCTACTGCCACGTGTCTCAAAAAGTTGACTATATGGCAGTGCGATGGTTTGATGTCCTTTCCGAACCTCCATGGGCTGTCCTCTCTTCAAAACATTGAAATAGGCTACTGTGGGCAATTGAAAAGCATAGGAGAGGATTTATCTACTGCCACGTGTCTCAAAGAGTTGATTGTAAAGGAGTGCAATGGTTTGATGTCCTTACCGAACCTCCATGGGCTGTCCTCTCTTCAAAAAATTAAAATAGACGGGTGTGGGCAATTGAAAAGCATAGGAGAGGATTTATCTACTGCCACGTGTCTCAAAGAGTTGACTGTAAAGGGGTGCCCTAGTTTGATGTCCTTTCCGAACCTCCATGGGCTGTCCTCTCTTCAAAAAATTGAAATACACAGGTGTGGGCAATTGAAAAGCATAGGAGAGGATTTATCTACTGCCACGTGTCTCAAAGAGTTGACTGTATGGGAGTGCAATGGTTTGATGTCCTTTCCGAACCTCCATGGGCTTTCATCTCTACAGACTTTATGGATAAGCGATTGTGGTAGATTAAGAAGTTTGCCAAGTGGGTTGCCATCATGCACTGCTCTTCGGACTTTAGGGATAAGCCGGTGTGGTGGATTAAGAAGTTTGCCAAGTGGGTTGCTGCCATCATGCACTGCTCTTCGGACTTTAAGGATAAGCTGGTGTGGTGGATTAAGAAGTTTGCCAAGTGGGTTGCCATCATGCACTGCTCTTGAGGAATTGGATATCTCCAACTGTCATAATCTAATCTCTATTCCAGATGATTTGAGGAGGAGCTGGAGCGTCCCTAACCCTGCCTGCCTTGCTCGCCTGAAGAAGCTGACTATTGGTGGTTTCTCAACAGAGCTCAAGGAATTTCCAGATCTGGGCTTCATCGGATCTCATCTTGAAGATTTGACTTTGATTGGATGGGGAGAACCAGGAGAACGTATGCTGGATCAAATTCAACACCTAACTGCCCTTGAGTCTCTCGAAATAGAGGATTTTGATGTACTGGAAGCTTTGCCAAATTGGTTTGGAAACTTATCCTCTCTTCGAAATCTGGAGATTTCCAACTGCAAATCTCTGAAACATATGAAAGCCATCCAACGCTTCTCCAAATATGGAAGGCTTTGTATCGATGAATGCCCTGAGTTAAAGAAAAGATGCAAGAGAGGAAGTGGTCCCGAGTGGGACTGCATCTCTCACATTCAAATCATCGAAATAGGCCACAAAGAGAGCCAATGGGCAGAATCTTCCATTGAGGTATTTTCAGCCTTTAACTATATATAATAGTAAATCTTTTTTCTTTAATTCCCTTGTCTTCCTGATTGATTTCAATTATGCATTTACCTTCTTTCAATCTTTTAGGTACTACTGCTAAATCTTTTTTATTTTTTCTATTTATTTATAGTACTTAGCAACTAAAACCAAATTTATTATCTATTACCATTGTTACCTACAATTCAAAAGCAAATTAAGTTGATAATTTATTTTCCCTTTCAATATATGTAATTTCAAGTTTTAAAATGTTATACTAATAATTTCTCGATTCAAATGCTCTACTACCATTCTAAATTCCTAGTTTGCTGCATCAGGATGATGATAGTGAGCAGCAGGTTGATGATAATGAGCAGCAAGATGATGATAGTGAGTTGCAGGTTGATGATAGTGAGCCGCAAGATGATGATAGTGAGTTGCAAGTTGATGATAGTGAGCAGCAAGTTGATGGGCAGGCTGATGATAATGAGCAGCAAGATGACGATAGTGAGCAATTACCAGTGCGGGCTACAGGGTTGAGACGTCCATTTGTTGCAGAAACTAATAAAATAGAAAGTAACAAAAGATTCAAAAATTAAAGGCTGGCATCATGGCTTGGTAGCCCAACCCAGACCACAGACTTCAATGCTGATTGTGAGGTTGGATTTTATTTGCCAGATTAAAACCAATTATGTAATTGGTATAGAGTAGCATCAAAGTTTTACCACTGAACTCATTAGTCTTATTTTACTAGTGCATCACTTCTTCCTTCTACCAACTTAACTATGAGGAAGGTTGTTGCTGATTTTTTTAAACATTTGTAAATTTGGTCCTTCCAAGCATTTTTCCCTTCTCTTAATGTTTTGTATTTGCTCTTGCAGGATGAAAACAAGACTCAGAGCTAGGCATAAAAGAGGATACAATTGTAAAAAATGAAGTTGCTCAGACAAGTATTGTGAATGCATGCAAGCCTGTCAAATGTCAATTTTGTCATTCTGTATAAGATTTACTTATCTGATGTGTAGATAACATATGTTGTGTATAAAGGCTGAATCATTTTCCAGGCCTCCGGTTCTTCAAATTAACCTGCAAGCAAATCAATCTCTAAAACTTTATGTGATGTTGGTGACACCTTGCTGAAAAGCCAAGGAGCCAAGCACAACAATCATCTCAAAAACCGTGGAGACCTTTTAGATTTTTGTAAGATCCATACATCAATTCAGGTAAGTTGTGCTTAGTTTTTCAGACCATGGAGATAAAAATGGAAAACAAGCCAATGTAATTAACTTTCGAATTTTTTGTTCATTTAAAGCATTGGTTTTTCTTTAATTTTCTGGACTGATGTTTGTGGTTATGATCTAGATTGTTGGTTGTTTTAATTTGTCCACAGGAATGCAAAACATGGATTGGAGTTCTTTTAGGTGTGTCATGGTTTCAATAGGGTTTGATTGCTGTGATTGTAGGCCATCCATTGGCCTTGAAACACATAACCAATGCTCATCGAACAAGCAAAAAACAATTAGAAAGGCACTGTCATCAAGAGAAATTAAGGATGATTCTGGTAGGTTCCCTGAGTCTCAAGCATTTAAGCATGGGCTTTCTGATTTTTTAATCTTTTGTTAATTAGTAGAATGAGCATAGTCTTATGGTAAAACTAATTAAGGTTCTTCCTTTAAAAGTTATTGGACCATAAGGTTTTAATCTCTTGGAGGTGCTCAATTTCAGTCAGCTGGGAGAATGACAGGATGTTGATCAGTCTATTATACCTTGAGTACGTAAATCGCTTCTAAGTTCAATTTGTTTCAAAGAATGGCAGCTGATGCAAAGTTATTCATGGACTTCCAATTTGTAGGTCTCTTTCTGTTGAGTTGTCATCGCTAAGCAGTACCTCAGACTCCAGGGACATCTTAACCCATAGTGACTCTTAACTCCTTGAAGGTATGTTTTGAGTAGAATTATGATTAAGTTTGAAATTCACTTAAAATAGATATGCGTTTCTTTTATTCTTCTTGTTTCTCATTTCCACTATGAATGCTACTTTGTGTTGCTCTTGTAATTGACATCAAAGTTCTCATGTTTTAACAAATGAACAGCAGGGAATTCAAGATGAAAACCAGAAGAGTCAAACATGACAACCAGTAGCTAACCATGGAGATCAATGGTATAGTATTGTAGACCAAGTTGTGGCGAACGTGATTTGTTCAATAGGGTTTTTTGTCTTGAAATGGTGATGAAGAGATTTGAACCCACTTTCCAACATAGGTCGCATCTCTCCTGACAACTCAGCCAACACTAGCAGTGTCATTTGTGCTAGCAACCCAGTGATGATATGGCAAGTCTCCAAAGTGAAGAAATGTCATCCAGACCAATCAATGCAAAGTGGAAGATGCATAAATATTTAAGGCGATCAAGTGCCATACTCTGTCAAAGTAGTTCGCTTAACTAACAGACATGAAATATGGAAGGCCGAGTTAAACTTGCTAATGCTGTCTTGAATTTTGCTTGCAATAATGGATGTATTTGCTATTGAGTCCAAAAGAGCGTTGTGAGATTGGGTGTATTGGGAAGCTTCTATCGAAGCTAGGATAGAGATTCTAGCAATTGTATCCATTTCTTTACATGGTAAATTTCTACTCGGCTCTTCCAGTGAAATTTTGTAGTTGTTCTTTTACTGTTCTTCACCAGAAAAATTTATCTTCAATGGATAAAGATTGTGATGTTCCACGAGCAAGTACAAAAATACCTGGTTATTTTTCACAAGTAAATGTAGGAGCTGAAAAAACCAAGTGCAAGTTCAGTACTTTGGTTGCAGGGGCAATAATCACAAGAATTGGAATTATCATAATCTCGGTAAATTCAGGCAGGAACCAGCTTAATGCATGTCAAAAATGCTTAAAGAGTGCAAGTGTTGTAAATGAACAAAGATACCAGCATTGAAAATTAGACATGGTTAGTAACTAAAATCAAGTTTTTTTCTGCCTCTTTATTCTCTCAAGGGCTCCTAGACGGTTCTCACTTTCCCAATCTTTGGCTGGTACAATATCATCATCCCCATCTCTGTCACCATCGTCTCTCTTCCTGACAAGACCTCCAAATACAGCAGATGGAACATCTTTCTGTGCAATTTCAACTTTTTCATCTTCAGAATCACTTTCTTCTGCCAGATCAATGTCTTCAGTGGCAACTGGTTTCATCCCCCCATCAGTCTGGGACTCCACCCCAGCACTAACAAACCCCACTTTTCTGCTGCTGTCTTTAGAATTGACATTTTTGGATGCAGGGGCCAATTGCCTCTCAAGAGCAGCCATCTCATCTTCAGGGACACCAGCTTGCTTCAATTGGTCCTTTGCATCATCAAGGGCCAATGACTGATCCTTCTGCATCATGTACTCTGGCAGAATGAAGTGTGTCTGAAAAATTAATAAAAATGAGAGTTAGAATAAAAGATGAAAAGCAAATCGCAACTAGAATTCTCAAGATTAGGCCAGAATAAAAAGATAAACCCAGATAATGTATCTAAAAACTAAATGGGAATTCCAAAGATTCTACATGAATAAATATAATGTATCAAAAAACTAAATGGAATGTTTTTCTCATAAAGGCTTACCTGGCTATAACTTGCGGAAACACTTCTTTTGATTCGCAGCATTTCCCTGAAGGTATCTTCATGTCCATGCTGAACCTCAAACTCATGCCACTTATTCCAAAAATCACCATCAGTACGTGGATCTGCAAATTGAGATGCAAACACATATATTTCCCTAGCTCGGTCAATTTCTCCCAAGCTCTTTTCTAGCTCTGCATATTTCAAACACATTGTCTTCACATCTTTATCTGGAAGACCAGACTCTATGGCCTGCTCATAGATTTCTCTTGTTTTAGGGACACCAAATATCTCAGCAGCACGAGCAATGTGTATCTCATACATGCTTAGTTTTTCTTCATTTGGTACAGCCTTGGTTGCCTCATCATAGACCTTCATAGCTCGCTTTGCTAGACCATAATCCTCCTCCAATTTTGCATATTGAAGATACAGCTGCTTAACTGCATCAGCAGGAGCCTGACAAACACAAGCAAAAATAAATAAATAAATAAAAGCAGTATCAGCATCATAGCACATTGATAATGCACACAACGTAAAATTTTGAATCAGCTTCAATAGAAGCTCTTAAAAGTGCAGACTGCAGAAGGATGACATCTAATAAGTCAAAAAGCCATTCAACTACTAATGAAATTATGCTCTTCTACACCCCAATTCTTCTGGCTAAGATTACTCCCATTGCTTCTTAAAGGAACCAATGCTCCGAAGGAACCTCTCACAATTTCAATAGAAAACTATTACAGGTCAGGGCTGTGATCAACTAGATGATTAGTGTGGAACAGATTAGCACATAAGTTTTGGCTAAAGCTTTTACATATATGCAAAAATAAATCCCATTAATTTTCAAAAGAAAAACTAAGTAACATGCCATGAACAATTATGATCAGACACACAGCTAAAAGAATGATAATTGGCATACCGTTTCAACAGCATGCTCAAACAGTTCTCTAGCCCTTTCAAGCTTCGACTTTCCATATCTTTTCACGAACTTGGACAAATAGGTTACCCAAATGTCCTTGACATGTGGGTATTTAAATATCTTGACACCTCTTTCATAGACCTTAAAAGCATCTTCAAAGTACTTGT